GGAGCACTGGGTGTTATGCACAAACAATGAATCATGGAACACTTCATCTAGAACTAATGATGTAATGTATGGGGATTAACATAAGAATAAAAAAAAAAAAAAAAAAAGAATGTGCCAGTCTTCCAAAGTGGATGTACCATTTTACACTCCCACAATCAATGTCTGAGTGTGCCTGTTGCTCCATGCCTTCCCAACACTTGGTATTACTCATCTCTTTAATCACAGCCATTGTGATGAAGATAAAATAATATCTCATTGCAGTTTGTTTTCATTTCTCTGATGACCAGTGATCCTGAAATTATTTTTACATGTTTATTGGCCATCCATGTATCTATTTTTGTGAAGTGTCTGTTGTCCTTTTAAAACTTCTTTATAAATTCTAGACAGAAGTCCTGTCAGACATATGTATTGTAATATTTTCTTCCTACAACTTGTTTCCATTTAACCTTACATTTTTAGTTTATCTTATATCTAGGTTTTCTCTGACCAGACCACGGATTTCCTCTGTAAAGAAATGTGCTTTTCTCTTATTATCCAAGGAATTTAGCATACTCCCTACAAATGATAATCATTTAAAATATCTGATGATTATCTCTTTAACCATGGGAGGAATATAAGTAACAGCTACTGAGCAGTTATTTTGTGCCATTTCTATTTTGTTTTTTGTAAGTTTTGTTTAATCTTCACATCAACTCCTAGAGGTAGGTATTTCTTTAATTTACAAAGGTGAAAACTAAGTCACAGAAAAGTTAAATTATGTTGCCTATGAATAGCCAGCTAGAAGCCTAATACACATTTCTAACTCACAGGGTCAAATTTTTCCTCCTCTTCTAAACTTTTAGAATTCTCACTCTTTTCTTCTTCATTTTGCTGTTCAGCATACCGCAAGATCCATTCTTTCATATTTACTTCCAAATTTTTCTCTTCCTTTTTTGGCTAGAAAGGAAAAACAAATATCTGAAAAACCAAAGTTAGAAAAAGGTGTCAAACTACCATCAAATATCCCTGTTTTTACTATTTTCTTTATACTCAGAAACAGCAGACATGTAGCCTCAAAAATCATCTTACATACTGTTCTGTGAAGGACAAATGAATTCAACATTACTTTAAGAAGTCCAAGCTTGCAAAATCCAAAAAATATGTTTTTATAAACAGGCAAAAAAAATAAAAGGAGAACTGTTAAAAACTAGTGTTTTTCCTTAAAAACAGTGGTTTTCTGGGGATAATGCTTCCAGATTGTTTTTGTTTTGTTTTTAGCCTTTACTGAGATATAGCTGATACATTTAAAAAGTGTACAAATTTAATGTGCATATTAATATATCAGTTTTAGATTAGTTTATCATAATGTATATATAAACTCAATATTTTGATGAGTTTGGATATATGCATACACTCACGATCACTACAATCAATGTACTAAACTTATCCATCATCTCCAAAAACTTCCTTGTGTTCTTTTGTTCATGTGTGTTGGTGGGAGTGGGGAGTGGTGGCTGTAGTAAGAACACTTAACAAGCCGTCTATGCTCTGAACATATTTTAAAGTGCACAATATTGTATTAACTCTAGGCACTATCTTACAAAGATCTCTAGAACTATTCATCTTGTGTAACTGAAACTTTTAACAATTAAGCAACATTTTCCCACTTTCCCCTCTCCTCCCTTCAGCCTCTGGTAAACACCATTCTATTCTCTTCCTCTATGAGTTTGATTATTTTGGATACCTCACATAAGTGAAATCATGTAGTCTTCATCTTTCTGTGACTGGCTTACTTCATTTAGTATAATGTTCTCCAGTTTCATCCATGTTTATAGAGGTTTTACAATATGCAGAGTATTTTTTTTTTAAGATTTTATTTATTTGACAGAGAGAGAGAACAAAAGCAGGGGGAGGAACAGAGGGAGAAGCAGGCTCCCCCGTGAGCAGGGAGCCTGAAACGGGGCTCGATCCTAGGACCCTGAGATCATGACTTGAGCCAAAGGCTGACGCTTAACTGACTGAGCCACCCAGGCGCCCCACGATATGCAGAGTATTTAAGTGTAATGCCCTAATGAAGTACACCTTCTAGTATTCATGACTTTCTGTAATTCCCTTCCACATGTATTTTGGAGTTGGCCACAGGACTTGTTTCAACCAAGGAAACATTAGCAGAAGTGATACAAGCTGGGGCTTATCATCTTGAAATACTTGCTCTTGGAAGCCAGATGCCATGCAAATCAGACCACTCTGTGACCACCACATCTGAGGAAACCCAAGCTAGCCCCCAAAGAAACCATTTTGGATATTCCAGCCTAAGAAGATACCTCATGGAACAGAAGGACTAACCAGCTGAGCCCAGTATAGACTGTAGAATCTAAAGAAATTAATTGTTGGTTTAAGCCACTACTTTTTTGGGTGGTTTATTATGCAGCAACAGATTACTGAAACAGTGATAGAAAAGCCTGGCAAAGCAGTTAGTTATTTTTGATAAGCAAAAATGTTATTGCAACCTGGTATTTCTACTCATGAACTATTACATGTGTTTTCATTCTGATTTTATACAACTTTAAATGTTTAATTTCTTAAATTACCTTAATCTTAGTATCTTCTGGTGTTTTGGTTTTAGGCTGCAATGGAGGTGAAACAGTGGCTGGTGTTTGAGGAGACTGGAATTTTGGCCTACTTTTAGGTTGCTGTTCTTCAAATTCTTGACTGAATCCTTCAGGAAGTGCATCTTAAAAATGGGAATAAAAAAACATAAGCATACACATTCATTAAACATGCATATAAACCCTGCCTAGACAAACAGCACAGAATTTTCTTCCATCCGTCATCTCCTAAGAATAGAAATCCTATGATGAACCTGGCTTTATTGTCAAAGCAGGAGTGGAAACACTCATGAGATAGCTAGCCCACCTCTGTTTGGCCATTTATTTCACCCTCAATGTGTTAGACTTCTAAATTTTCAAAAAAAATCTGAACCCTTCCCAACTCCTTGGTTGCCTGTCATAGTGTATGGTAAGATCCTCATTCAGTCATACAAGCAATTTGCACTCCAGGTTCCTGCCAAAGATTGTAACCTTGACCTTCTGGTTAAACAAATTTATCTAAAGCCATATGGTCCAAATTTCTGAACCAAAGCCAGGAAACACAGCCTGACAGGTTACAGGCAGGCAAACTTTGAGAATTTGTTGTATTAAGTGCACTGTAAAATGACTACTGACAACTAAAAGTAATGTACAAAAAATAATTCCTTCTTGCATGGACTACAGTCTCTGAAAACATACTGTAAAGAGTGAAAAAGAGAATATTTGCAAAATAAGCAATTATAACAGTGGAAAAATTTAGAGCTTGATACAAATGTCACAAATGCTGAAATAATTTTGAGAAGGTTTGAGAAACTGAATTTTATGACAATACTACTTACCATCTGAAAGATTTAAACAGAGCCAATCCAAGGCAGAATGGAGATCACCTCCCTGTAAGAGTGTGTTAGTCATGGCATCTTCAATGTCCTTGGTCTTAAATGAAAATGCTTGTAAAGCCATGTATAAATCCTTTGAAAGGGAAATGAAAAAAGGCATTCTATTTTCTCTCATTTTATTACTCATTTTATTCTTCCACTCATTTTAAACCAGAAGCTGATAATAAATTTTAATTTCAAAAATATCTTTTTTTTTCCCTTCCGGTTAGAAAAGTTAAATATGCTCACCAAACTGAGAATTGAAAACTATTGATAAATTAAAAAAGGACCTGAAGACACTGCTCATATTCTCACTATTCAAAGATACTGTGCAATGTAGTATGTTTCCTTCCAGTCATTTTTCTATGATTTTGTAAAAACAAATTTCACTTAATAATGTAATGTAAGCATCTTCCCAAGTTATTAGAAACTCTTCATCACTTTTAATAGTTATATAATATTCCACTGGCTAGACATATCATAAGCTAATTACAGTTTCCTATTGGTGACCACTTAGGATATTTTCTTTTTTTATTGTAAGTAGTGCTTCAATGAACACATCCATACATAAAGTAAAGCATCTTAATGTACTTTCTAAAGCATGATCTTTAGAGCTGGGCAGAACTGGGTTCCAATCCAGACTCTGCTTACTCTGCTACTTACTAACAACCTCCAGCTATAGCGTCTGTAATCTTTCCAAGCCCCAATTTCTTCATTTGGAAAATGGGGCCAAGTACCTTTTGGTATTGTGCCAGAGAAAAAATAAGCAAAGTGCCCACTACAGAGTCTAATATAATCTGGGGAATGTAATTTAATTTTCATACCACCATTTTAATGTGTGCTCTTGTACCTGGCCCAATTCCTTCCCTATTCTTGCTGACGGAAATGATCTACATGAAATCTCAATGGAAGCTGAAGAAGTCATTTTATCTCACCATCTCACATGTGGAGCTGTCTTAAAAAGGCTCCATTAAAAATAAGGAAGTTAAAAAAAGTTTGCAAAATACCTGTAATTTTTTGGCAGTAAGTCTTCCAGAAATCACCCCCTTGTCATTATTTTGCTTTTTATGCTCATTTATCACTCCAATAATTCTTTGCTCTAGTTTGTGATTAATTACCACCTGTGGAAGCCAAAAAGGTCATTATCAATTAGAATCTAAATTATTAAATAACATTTAATAATTAGAAAAAAAATCACAGTTTTCTATATCCCTGACAACAAATACAAGGATTTCAGTTAAAATCAGATAAAATAATTATTGTATTTTAGACTACCATTCATTGGACCACATCTGTACCATATATTTTAGAAAAAATGTGACAGGTGTGCCTGGGTGGCTCAGTTGGTTAAGTGTCATGGTGTTAAGCATCAGCTTAGGTCAAGATCCCACGGTTCTGGGATTGAGCCCCACGTCGGGAATCCCTGCTCAGCAGGGAGCCTGATTCTCCCTTTCCCCCCTGCTCTCTCTCTCTCAAATAAATAAATATAATCTTTAAAAAAAAGAAAAAAAAATGTGACATGGAAAAAGCAATGTATGGCAAGAAAAAATCCTTTGAAAAACCCTCTTGAACCTGCATGTTTCAAGACATTGTTCTTGGATTGCTATTTTATGACTGATTCCTAAGCTTGATCCTAAGCAAGCTGAATCAGAATCCTTGGAGATGGATTCCAGAAATCTGTTTAATGTAAACCACCCCAAGCACACAGCTTGAAAGAATGGATGCTACACTAAAAAGACCTATAAGGTAAAAGTAAAAGCTATACAAATAGTAATAATTAAGCTACACAAATTCTTTTGGCTTTCAGGGTTTGATTCCTGTTTTTCTATTAGCCATTTTGTCTTCAATATTTTTGTTCCATATGTTCTTTCCATACTTTTGACCTAAGAATACATAAACATCTACCTACAAAGACACCACCCCTTGACCACATCTTTACTGAATGCCTACAATGAGCTATGTTTAAAAATATACTTCAGGAGTTCAGTCTAGCAGAGGAAACCTATATAAAAAGATAAACTGTAAACCAGCACAGCAATCATTTAAAAAGGTATATGAAAAAAGTATGGAATCACACGGAAAATTGCTGAGTTATGAAGGACTTCCTAGAGGATCCAGAGATGACAAATGGAGAAGGGGAAGTAGGTCTTTTTAAGCAGAGAGCCCACTGACAAAAGCCTGGAGTCATAAAATCATATGGGATTTGAGGGAACAATGAGATTTAAACTAAAATTTTAAGTGGAAAAGAATAATGGGAAGGAGGCTGGAAATGTACACCAAATCAGGTCTGAAAGGATGCATATGCTATCCTTAGAAATCTGGATCTTATCCAGATCTTCCTTAATTTCTTATGGGCTTTCAATATATGTGTTATGATTTACTTCTATTTAGTACGGATCAGCAATTAACTATTACAAAAAATTTAAATACCCCATAATTTTCTTATATTTAAGAATATCTTTTTTTTTTTCATTTTTCAAAGAGAACATTTCTTGAAATGACTCAATCTCAGTACTCACTTTTAAAATAGATTTATCCAGATTAGCAGGACCACCAGAATCATTTGCAGAATTAAAACTATAAATTTTTGGACCTGTATATAACAGACAAAAAGTAGTCAAGGCAATTTAGTCATTAATAGCTATTACACTATTTTAATTTTCCTCTAAAAAATTGCTAAACATTAAATATTTGATTTCAGCTCTTTTTTCCCCACTTCACCAAGGAATCTACAATCTAGCAATATGGCCTATAAATTTTCAAAAACATTTTACCAATTAGAGTTCTCTAGGTTAACCAGTTACTTACAAAGAGCAAAGGCCTGTAATTTTTTAAATTAAATTTATCTTCATCTTCGTATTTTCACAATCAGATGCTTTTCTGCCTGGTACTTGGCTGAAGTAAGACCTCTCAGAGGGTATTAGATTCCTGGTAGAGACGATGGTTAATTTTAAAGAGAAACACTCCCTTAAGGTAAAAATGAGGTGGCAGTTCCTATCATCTTCTATTCATAGAGTCCAAGGTTGCTGTATTAGCTTCCTAGGACAAATTACCACAAACTTGGTTGGCTGAATATAACAGAAATATTCTCTCACAATTCTGGAGGCCAGAAGTCCAAAATCAAGTTGTCAACAGGCCCATGCTCCCTGCAAGCTCTAAATAAGAATCCTTTTTTGCCTCTTCTGGCTTCTGGCGATCCCGGGAGTTGCTTGCCTTGTCTGCCTCTTTTTTACACATGGTGCTTCACATGGCCTTATTCCCTGTGTGTCTGTGTCCAATTATCCCTCTCCTTTCTCTGGACACTACTCATTGGATGATTTCATCTCAAGATCCTTGACTAATTATATCTGTAAAGACCTTATTTCCAAATAAGGTCACATTCTGAGGTTCCAGGTGCAAATGAACTTGGGTGGGGGAGGGAAGGGGAAAGTGCGACACTACTCAACCCACTACAGATGCCAACTCTGTTCCGGCCAACAGAAATGCTATGCATATCATCAGTTCTCTAACAATGACCAACCAAGAAGGAATAAATAGTATTAAAAGGTACTTTCAAACCTTTGGTCTCATGATCTCCTTACTCTCTTAAAAATCAGTGACAATCCTAAATACTTTCTGTTCATGTGAATTATAACACTGATATATACCATATTGTAAATAAAAAAGGAAAATTTTTAAATATTAATTCATTAAAAACAACAAACCTAAGACCAGTTAATATAAACACTTTTTATGAAAAATAACTGCATTTTCCAAAATAAAAAGAAATTGTTTTCCATTTTTGCAAATCTCTTAATGTCTGGATTTTGCATTCAATTTTCTGTATTATCATGTAGTCACTGAAAAATACCACTATATACTTGTGAGAAAATAACCACAAAAATGACAACATTTTAGGGGCGCCTGGGTGGCTCAGTCGTTAGGCATCTGCCTTCAGCTCAGGTCATGATCTCAGGATCCTGGGATCGAGCCCTACATCGGGCTCCTGCTTGGCGGGAAGCCTGCTTCTCCCTCTCCCACTCCCCCTGCTTGTGTTCCTCTCTCGCTGTGTCTGTCAAATAAATAAATAAAATCTTTAAAAAAA